GAGCTGAAATTCACAAAGTGATGTAATATCAAAAGGGAAGTAAATTTTATTCATGTACATTTCCCATAAGTCTTCGCATCCAGTTAGCTCATGTTTTACTCTCACATACTGATGTTGATTGGCTTTCATAATCAGTCATGAGTCATTCTGGGAAATGGAAAGAGACCCTAGCTCCAGGTTGAACAATGGCGCCATTCTCTAAAGGGATTTTCTTTTGTGAACAGTGTAGATGATGTGCTTCGTAGCATCTTTTCCTATCCCAATTATAAAAATAACAGAGCTATAACTAATGGGAAAAAGAGGGACTGCTGCAGTTCCTCAGAGGAATCACGTTATATACTGATATCATTAGCCCTTTTGTTATATCTAATGATAACTGGGCTGCAATAATTATTCCAGCAGCTCTAGCTTGTCTAAAGAGAAGGAGAAAAGATTTCTTTATAACCCTGTTGAAAAAAAGGTCTGGAGCTTTTAAAATGGAGTATAGAACAGAATTCTTGATGCATGGCACTCATGAAAAGCTACTCAAATTAACCTAAAATGTATTTGAATCTATGGCTCAGGATGTTGACCTTGTTAACAATCTGAACTTCATTAAGCAACTATTTCCAGTATCATTTATTGTCTTGCTTTTAATCTCTCTCTCAAACTTGACAATCATGTTTGTTTTGATTAATTATTTACATGAATCTCAGATCCTCCATTTTAATGGCTGTTGTGCAGAATACGGTTTCTAATTTAAATTCCATTTCTCTTTGATGAAATAGTATTGAAATTCACCAAATATCATAATTCATTGTAATATTAAATAATCAATGTTTGACAGATTCTCTGGAAGCAGGGATGCAGAAATAATTCATAAAATAATGCAACTGCATTGGGTTACCATGATGTACTGCTGAAGGAGCGAAGCAACAGATTTCCAGAACTAATGTAATCAGACCATGTTGTTTACCATTTTCATATGGAAGTGATGTTTTATACATTCAGAAGAAAAATGGCCATGAGAGCAGACAGTTGTGTGATAAAACAAGAGGAAATGATTATCTTTTTGAGAGAGATGATTGCATGTTCATGGATGAACCAACAAAACATTGAAATATTCAGTTAAGTAGTTAATGAAAATTGTTAGACTCTGCAGGTGCTTGGATGACATGTCTATGAATGTTAAAGGTAGGATTTTCCAAAGCATTCTGCACTGGCCTAACTCTGTTCCCATTGAAGACAGTGGTATAAGACTCATTGACTTTAGGGGAGCAGAATTGTTTAATCCAGGCTGTGTCCACGCTGCAGTCGGGAGCTGTGAGTGCGGCATGTGCAGATATATCCAAGCTAGCGTGGATCTAGTCAGGTCCACGCTAACTTGAGGAACAGTAGGCCAGGTAGACACAGACACAAACACAGCACTCGAATTATGGGGAAAAAGTCGGGGGGATCTAAATATCAAGTGGCTTACTTTAATTTAAACAGTATTGAGAAGTAAGGGGGCCATACGACAGATAGGAGGTAGCCTCTAAAAGTGTAGTAAAGGGGCTCAGTCCCACCAGCCCCACCCTCACCTGGTAATTCAAGCACTGGACACTTGCTGCCTCTAATCAAGCTAACACTTAAAAATAGCAGAGTGGTTGTGGCGGGGGCCACACAGACAGCTGCTGGGGTTAGCCCCCTGAGTACGTACCCGGGGGGTCAGATGGGACTGTACTCGGGTGACTGGTCAGAGCTGCTCCCTGTGCTCCTGCAGCGCAACACAGGTACGTCCACCTGTGCTGCGAATCACACCACCAGCTGCTGTGTAGACAGATTCTAAGAATGCTTTTGAAGAACCCCGTGTTTGGATTTAAGAGTGCCAAGAATTAACATGTTTCTATTTTAAGGAGTTAATTCTTTTTTAAGATTGTCTGTCTTTGTTTACATGTGTAAATCTGACTAAAAAATTAAGTGACTTTAGTAATCAGGAGGGCAGCAAGAAGTTATTGCAATGTATTTTCGTACAAAAATAATATATGGGCTGGAAATATCCTTGAGTATAGCTTCAGCATGATTCACACAGGCTGCAGTATTCATATTAATGGGAGCTGTGGCCTAGATTCACAAAGGTACTTAGGCATTGTCACACTGAGCATCACAACTCTACTCCCCTACGATAAAGGTAAAGCTTGTCTGTTTGGTGACCAGAAGTCTTGGAGCATTGGTTAGAGACTGTGGAATGATCTTCCCCAGGTTCTAAGGACATTCACAAACCTCATCAACTTCCACTCCGAACGCAAGGCACATGTCTTCGCCCTTGCCTTCTCTATTAAGACAAAGCAGTGTGTACATTAAAAAAACAAAACAAAAACAAAAAGACAACAAGAACCCCTAGCAAAAGGAAAACATTCCACTGCATACACAATACCCTCCCACTCAGGGAGGGGAGAATGAGAGAACAAACCACGCACCAGGTATTAGTCACATCACTTAATACATTGCTGGAAGAAGCTCAGATACTACAGTGATGAGCATGATATAAGAACCTGTATAGAATACTTGTGAATTAATATCCACTGTCATCTCAAATTTCATTTTTTACTGGAAGTAGCTCTCTTCTAAAAGTGATATTAACAAGAATAACAATCCATGAGGTCAGTCCAACATTGATTACCTGACATTGTGTGGTCAGAAAATTTCACTGGTACCATTGGGTGTCATGTAAAAATATCCCCTTCTCCTCCATGTCAAGAAGAGAGGAGATTAGAACCATAAGGAAACATTTTTAAATATTAGATTGATGTGTGTATATATATATCACAGAATTATTGAAACATAAAACTGGAAGGGACCTCGAGAGGTCATCTAGTCCAGTCCCCTGCACTCAAGGCAGGACTAAGTATTATCTAGACCAACCCTGACAGGTGTTCGTCCAACCTGCTCTTAAAAATCCCCAACGATGGAGATTCCACAACCTCCCTAGGCAATTTATTCTAGTGCTTAACCACCCTGACAGTTAGGAAGTTTTTCCTAATGTCCAACCTAAAACTAAAGTTTTTCCTAATGTCCATATAAAATGGCTCATTTTGAGTCTAATCCAGAGTGCACTGAAGTCAATGAGAGACTCTCTATGGACTTCAGAGATTGTCTTATGAAAGCCAGTTCCCACTCCCCATTTAGCATTTCCAGTTTTGTGTAAGAACATCTCTCTCCAAATAGCCACCCCAGAAGGGTTTATGGGCCACAGACGTGCTCAAAGCTGCTGCCACTTATGCAACCAGCATTTGTTCCCTGCAAAATTTGGCACTCAGCATAGAGGACATGCCTCACTTTTTAAAAATTAAAGGCACTGTGTATAAGGATGTGTTCATCAGTAGGAAATTTTCCATGCACTGTACATAGAATAATGTATTGTTGTGTAATGCTACCAAGGTTCCCTTTTAAAAGTCAGCTTTTACAGCAGTTACCACACTACTCTAAAATATGACTGGATTTCCCTATAGTTAGAATAGGGAAAAGAGTCTAATCCTGAGAGATGCTGAGTACTTGCAATTCCCATTGATATCAATGAATGTTCAGCATCAGGTTCAGACCTTAAATTACTCTGGCCTACTATCCGTTTGCAGAGGATGACTCTTTGATGATGACTACTCTAATGCATATACAGCAAGCATCACAGGTGATTGGACTGCACTAGAGGCAAAGAAGTGATGTAAGCAGGGTATAATATGGTCATAGATGCACCATCTTGTGCATATAAAACTGTTGCTTTTTATATACAAGTTAAAATATTTAAGTAAAAGGAACCTTTGAAAAGATCTTTTGAAAAGCAGAAAGATCTACCTGGACTGGTATGCAGTATTTACCCCTTGAGGGATTTCATGCTACAGATAATCTAATTCCCTATCAAATAAAAGCATTTACCTTCCTGTTCATTTGGACCAGAGTTAGCATGATAAAACAATTTGTTATGCCAATAAAATTTTTGTTATGTTATAAAAAGGTTTATTGCACTACTATTGCTACATAAAAATGTTATGAAATTTAACCCTATTGCAAGCTCCAGAAAGACACAGTCCACTTTTAGAACTAGCTGCCACAAAAAAAATGTTTTAATTCTTTCTCTTTCTTTCTTTCTTTCTAAAATATGGCATTTTAATTCTACTTTGCCATAAACAATTTCACAGGATTCTCTCTCTTTTTTGCTCAGTAACCTATTGCTGTCCACTCCAATACCCTCCTACACTCGTATAGCAAGATCTTGTACAAAACTATGATTATTATATTTTGCAAGCAATTTTCAACTAAACAAACAAAATCTAGTCTACTGCTCCTGAGAAATTAGGTCCCGTTCTCCCTCTTCCCCCATGGCCACTTTAGTTTCAGTAGTGCAAATCTTCACAGTCCAGTAGCAGAACAATCTGCAGTATCTGATAGATAATAGGCTTCTCTTCATGGCACAATAATATTATTATATTAAATGGTGTGCAGTTTCAGGCTGGTAAGATAATTATACAGTAACTGCCATAAGTAGCCCACTCAGGTAAAATGTTTGGATACCCCAGATTCCCACAGAAGGATACAGAATGTCAGAAAAAAAGGGTATAGTGGTACTCTAATTACTACAATTTCCCTGACCTTTTTCACTTGTTCTTAGTTTGCATTAGGAAACTATTTACTAGCTAAAATAGATTTATATTCCGAGCTGGATGAAGTGTTCCCTTTCTGCACACATTCTAATGAATAGCATTAATTGCTATGGATAAAATCCACTTCCATACAAAGGGCCAGCGTTAGGGCTATGAACCCAGTGTAGGGCTGTTATGAAATATCAGCATAGGAGAACAGTGTACATTTCAAATGGCAAGTTTTATATTCAAATATGCAAGGTAAAATCTGTACTGTTATTGGTCAGTTACTGAAACCATCCACGCAGTAAACAGAAACAATAGCATGTGACCTGCATACTAAAGAAGAGTAGGAGTGGTACAATCTGATAACTGAAGATAGCATTTGTGAAAATAGAAACTTACAGACAGTAATATTTGGATGGCGCTGTGAATGACCTCGAGATACTGGAAGTCAATGATGCAGCCCGTCACAGAGACATAGGAGTAATCGTCTAGGATCCCAGGGGCTGAAGGGCGCACCACTCTCCGTATGCAGCCTGGCCCATGCTCTCGCCACCAGGAACGGTGCATTGAAATGTTAAAGGTCATGAGATCAGTTTCCTAGGAGACAGAGAGAGAGAAAAAGGGATGAAATGCCCTTCTGTCACAGCATTAAAGGTGAAAACAGGAATTAATGTAATTTCACTTATAAAAGAAAAACTCAGCTAAATAAACAGATAAATTAATACAAATTTCTAAGATGAAGCCAGACCATAGAAAAGGAAAGAGAAAAATCTTACTGGGGCCCTGATCAGTAGATACGCTATGAAACATAGAGCAAATAATAGTCCCTGTCCAAAAGAAACTTGGAATCTAAAAATACAACCTAATTATTACTTTACTAGAAAGTGTCTCCAGAATGTATTTATTCTTATGGTAGGTAAAGGTGACAGTCACTTAAAACAGTGGTTCTTAACCTTTTTGGGCTCATGACCTCCTTATAAATTTTTATGGCCTGTCGTGACCCAGTAAATAGTCTGAGGGTGGAGGCCCAGGGGTGGTTTTGGTTGGATCCTGCCCGACACTCACCCTACAGTGCCAGTTCCTGTGCTGTGGGACTGGCTGGCCTTGGCTCTCTGCTCTGGGTGTTGCAACCTCCAGGGTTGCCGTGCCACTCAGACTGGCCCTGCCCCCACGACTGGACTAAATTTGTGTGAGTGGAGTTGTGACCTGGCTCAGGGGATTGCAGTGCCACTCACTCAGATTTGAACTACCCAAGCTCCTGTCGTCATGACGGCTCAGCCAAACCTGGGTGGTGCTGGGACCCCTAAGGTTGCTGTGCCTGGAGCAGGGAGGCGAAACCAGTCAATCCTGTGGGACAGAAGCCAGAGGAGCTGCCATGTGACCCTTTGAAACATTCTTGTGACCCAATTTTGGGTCCCAACCCATGGGCCGAGAAACCCTGGCATATACCCAATGTTATTTTTACAGGATAAGATCTAAAATAAACCACTACAGAATACATTTGAGGCCACAGGTCTGGTGGAAATATCTGTTATTTTGTGTAAACCTACCAGTACAACATGAATAGTGTAGTATAACATGCATATTTTCACCCACTCACTTCCACCTTCATGGCTCAGCAGAGCAGTAACAGTGGCAAAATTCTAACAAATTTTTGAAGACCACTCCGGTTGTGCCTGCAAAAATGCTTGTCTTCTGGCTGTACTGAAAAAGCATCACATTTTCTAGGCATATACATGCTTAGTTGTGGGTACAAATGTGGGCTGCTGCAGGTATACTTTTACAGGCTCACATACTGAACCTTATTAATCTCCCCTACAAGTCTAGCTTTCTGTGGAAGAAGAGGTCCATACCAAACAAAGGTAGCAGGATTTTTGCCATTGTATAACATATTATATAGTTGCTAAGTCATTATTTAGACTTGGTGAGACATCTGTCTTTTGACTTTGAACATCATTCTTTGATTCCATTTTAGAAAATTTTGCACTCACAATAGACCACAGGTGGGCAAACTATGGCCGGCAGGCCACATCTGGCCCACGGGACTCTCCTGCCCGGCCCCTGAGCTTCTGACCCAGGAGGCTAGCCCCTGGCCCCTCCTCTGCTGTTCCCTCTCCCCTGCAGCCTCAGCTCACTGCGCCGCCGGTGCAATGCTCTGGGCGGCGGGGCTGCGAGCTCTTGCCAGGCAGCGCAGCTGCAGAGCCGCAGCCTGGCCCAGTGCTCTGTGCTGCACGATGGCGTGGCTGGCTTCAGCAGGGCGGCGCGGCTGCCTGGTCTGGTGCTCTGGGTGTCATGGCTGTAGTACTGCCAGCCACCGGTGTTCCAGGCAGTGCGGTAAGGGGGCAGGGAGCAGGGGGTTGGATAGAGGGCAGGGGAGTTCAGGATGGTGGTCAGGGGACGGCGGTGTGGATAGGGGTGGGACGGTCAGAGGGCAGGGAACAGGGGGGTTGAATGGTGGCAGGGATCCTGGGGGAGTCATCCGGAAGGAGAGGAGGGGTTGGATGGGGCAGCGGGGAGCCATCAGGGGTGGGGAGCCTGGGGGTGGTCAGGGGACGGGGGTGGGGGGGATGGGGCAGAGGTCCTGGGAAGGGGTGTCAGGGGACAGAGAGGGGTCTGATAGGGGGCGGGGGGCCAGGCCACACCTGGCTGTTTGGGGAGGCACAGCCTCCCCTAACCAACCCTCCATACAATTTTGAAAACCTGATGTGGCCCCCAGGCCAAAATGTTTGCCCGTCCCTGTGGTAGGGTGATATCTTACTGAATTGAAATAAAAATTGACAGACAACTCTGCTTAGGTAAAATTATAAATATAAATAAAAGCAAGCGCCAATATTGGGCAGTTTCTTATGTTTGGCTCAGTGCAACAATCCCTGTTATTTTATTACACATTACTGATGGACTTCTCTTTATGCTACTAAGCCATGGAAAAGTCTCCCCTTCAATATTTGGTAGTGAGAACTTTATTAAGGATTTTTCTGCTTTGAGTCCCTGAAGGCTTAAATGGAACTTAAGTGGTGCCTGGGCCTTCTACTAGGCTTCCACGCAAGGGGTGAATTTCACCCTGTTTCATAATAGTTGTTTGCCTATTTTTCTGCATCGTACCGGAAGAACAACATTAAGTAGGGATTACCCTGTAAACTAACTCTGAAGCTATGTATCGTTGCAAGCCAGAAATATGATCTGCAAAAGAACTGTACCATTACAGAGGCAACTGTTTTGTTTTCTTCAAGAATGAGCCAATATATTTATGTACAGTACTTCATTAAAAATAAACCTTGTAAAGGAAACACACAAACATCCTAAATCTCATCTAGAGATGGACAAAAATTTGGAAAAGTTCTCCCAGTTATGTTTTGCAAATTTTGACAACGTTTTTAAATTTAAAATTTGTCATCCAGCTGTTATTCCTATTCAGCAAAGCACCTACAGATGTGCTTAATTTTTAGCATGTGCTTAAGAAGTCCCATTGACATCACTGGCCATTATCATCCTTCATTCAGTAATGGAAGAGGAGACATTTGTGAAATCTGACTTTCAAGCCACTGATGGTACAATGAGAGAAGGAAGCACCCATATCACCAGCAAATTCTCTGCTCTGATGTGCAAAGGATGTGATCGTGGCACTTTTTGTATCATTACTTTTGTTCAGCAGCTCTGGGTAACCCCCTTTGAGCAGGGGGTTGGACTAGATGACCTCCTGAGGTCCCTTCCAACCCTGATATTCTATGATTCTATGAATGCCAGAGTGCCACACCCTGGTTCTCCAAAGCAGATGCAAAAGATAAATAATTATCCAGCAGAGACCAGAGTCTTATAAGTGTAAGCTAACCAAAAAAATTACTTGGTGCTTTAGTTTGACCTCTAATATGTTACTCCAAAAAGTGATAATGTTACATCTGATAAACATTAAGCTACTGATCAATAAATGAAAGCCTGAAAAAAAATTTGCTGTTGCCAAAGTGTATCTTCTCTCTAGGAAGCACCTAAGCTATATAATGTGTCATTTATGCCATCCTTAAAAAAAAAAAAATCAACTAGTAGTTTTACTATTTATACTGAAATAAAGAAACTCACAAATAACGGTGAAATGAGATAAAGAACATTGATCCACTCTGTGTCTTTTACTTTTCCACACAAAATGTTGTTTATGGCTAATAAATTATTAAAAAAAACAAATAATTCTTTGTTTTATAGCAGAGCCTACCCACCCCACGGGGCTAGACACTATACAAACACTGATAATTAGGGTTAGAAGGATTAGATTTTTATTGGTAAATGTCACTGAACATCAGTTTCACCACCGACACACACACACACTTCCACCAATAATAATCTAAATTTAAAGAAAGAAAAATGCTGCTTGAGAACTTAGAGTCGGATTTAAGGAACTTTGTTTCATCTGAAATATGATGTTGACAGATTGTGTTTTAACAATTATAGTGCTTTAACAGTTTGAATCTTAACATCTACTATCATTAAAATATTGTCTGAGCTTCCCAATAGTTTTCCAGAACTGTGAAAATGTAAATAGATAAAAATAGAAAAAAATGCTTAAAAATAAATGTTGGTATTATTCCTCAAAAGTATATAAACATTGATTCTGCCAAGCCTATTTATAATATGATAATCCCTGTTTGAAAAAGCTTCCAGACTAGACAATCTTAACAATAAGCAAAATGTGTTCATGTACAGAGTCGCAATGACCTCTGCATTTTGGGTACAATTAAAGTGTTGTGGTTTTCAAGGAGGCAATATGAATATAATTTTGAACAAATAATTCATATGAATATGCCATAACATATACAATACTGAAACACCACCACTCATTTCAGATGCCACATATCAAGCTTGTGGAAAATTTGTTAAACAACAAACAAAGAACAAATGGACACAAATCAGACGTCAAGAATTATAAAATTTAAAAACCAGTCAGAGAACACCTCAACCTCCCTGGACACTCAATTACAGACCTAAAAGTGGCAATTCTTCAACAAAAAAACTTCCAAAACAGACTCCAACAAGAAATTGCAGAACTGGAATTAATTTGCAAACTGGACGCCATCAAATTAGGCTTGAATAAAGACTGGGAATGGATGGGTCATTACACAAACTAAAACCTATTTCCCCATGCTAATTTTTCTCCCTGCTGTTACTCACACGTTCTGGTCAACTGTTTGAAATGGGCCATCCTGATTATCACTACAAAAGTTTTTTTCTCCTGCTGATAATAGCCCAATTTAATTAATTTGTCTTGTTAGAGTTGGTATGGCAACCTCCGTCTTTTCATGTTCTCTGTAGATATATATCTTCCTACTGTATTTTCCGCTCCATGCATCTGATGAAATGGGTTTTAGCCCATGAAAGTTTATGCCCAAATAAATGTGTTAATCTCTAAGGTGCCACAAGTACTCCTCATTCTTTAAACCATAACACATCTAAATATCAGTTCAGATGTCTCAGCACGTGCATTGCATTAGATAAGCGCACTCCACAATGTTACATTTAATCCAGATCTATAAAGTGTATGCACATGGGATAAATCCCTGTTTCAGCAAAGATGTGTTTAAATTTAAGCACATCAATAATCCCATCCCTAGTGAGCTAAGCGTTCAACAGGTATCTAAATCCCACTGAAGCCAGTGGGATTTAAGCACACACTTAAGTGCTTTGAGGAATAGGGATGGGATTACTCATGTTTAAAATAAAGAACGTGCTCAAAGTACTTTGCTTAAATTTGGAACCAGAAAATCCAAAGCTTGTTTCTCCCAATGTACAGTTTATAAATACCATTGTAATTTAATCTGGCTGTTTCTGCAGAACTTCTCACAAAACTACCACTTTGGAAGGTGCTTAGACTGTAGTACTGATTGCTTACTCCTTTCAGTATTATATGAAAGTTAAATGTTTGTTAGGAAAGTCCAAGAGGATGCTTGCAATTTTTCAATATGCAACACATACTGTTCTCTCATGTTAAAAACAACCATTAAACAACTGCTTCAAGACACTCAATCTTCCAGAAGGTAATGTAATGTAAATTGCTGTTTTCTTACAAAAGTATGCAGTTTTTCAAGCTTACTACTGACTGTGTACCAGACTCTATGCATCTATATAACAGCATGCCTTGAATCCAAAGAGAGAGTGCAAAGGCACAATGCTTTAGGATTGTGGACCTTCTGCACTTAAAGCTCACACCACATGTCCTTGCATTTATTTGTTGCATCAGGCTATAAGACATACCTTCTCCCTCTGCAGTCTTGTTAGATCTCACACACTTATGTTCGAACAGTACATGAATGATAATGTTCCAGAAAAATTGTAGGTGCGTAAAGGAGAAGTGATGCTAGTTATTCCATATATCATGTTCTTCCCTCTCAGGCACACTGCTTGAAATTCAGTCCTGTGCAGAAGACCTTATGCACCACTTAAGTCCCATTTAACTTGCTATGGTTTTAAAACTCTAGTGCTAAGCGGTACATAGGCTTTGTGCTGCCTGTCTGCACAGAAATGAATTCCAGTCATTGTCAGAGGTCACTGGGCCATTGGAGATTCTTGCTTTTAGAGAAGATGAGCCAACATCATTAAAGGTCTTATAGATTTATGGGGACTGATGCCCTGGCCTAATTTCATTCTACCTAAAATTTTCTTGAGGTTTCAGTTGGACAGTTCCCATATAGATTGTTGTGTAGTGACTCTAGATGTATCATAATGTTCTTGGTAGTGGAGCAGATATTTAGGTTTGAAACTTTATTTCCAAAAAATCCTGCCTACATTCACTTTTCACATATATATGTGTATGTACTTAATGAATAGTATGATTACATGCAAAAATATTGTGGTTGCATGATTAAAGTCACCAAAGATCAGGAAATACACATGTTAAAGGTCCAACAGAAAAATTAACATGGCCACATTGTATGTTGTATGGAATATACTTTGTTACAAATGTAAGAATATATTAAGCTACACACTGAACTAGAAAATCAGGGATAGAAAATTACACATGTGCAATGTAGCTAAGTTAATTCTACTGTTGGAATCTTAACTTTCAAGGTTCTCACTTTGGGTGACTTTGTGCAACCTTAATGGGGGAAGAATACCCAGAGGAGAGCAACAAGAATTGTGGGTCAAACACACTGCTTTTTGTCTGACCCATTCACATTTATTCATTGTGTCTGCTTAGAAGGTGATTTCTTCTGGAATATAGGAATTGCCATACTGGATCAGATGCAGAGTCCATCCAGTATCTTGTCTCAGAAAGTGGCCAGTACTGGAAGCTTCCCAGGAAGGTGCAAGAACCTATAGTTGGCAGATTTGGCATAAACAGCAGGGATCTTATCTTCATTCTTATTTGTGTAGCCTATAGCAGATAGCTGATGCTTTACTAGCAAACAACACCAGTGCAATAAATAGTCCCATATCACTTTCTGAAAAAAACAAGAATGCTCTAGTTCTGATCAGTTTCCCCAGCTAAGTCTTTCATTTTCACAAATGGAGAGGAAAGACATTAATTCAAAGAACTTCTTGGCAAATAATTATAATGTACATAATTCCAGGAAAAAAGGGACTGTAACAAAGAATATTTTGTCCTAATTCCCTGCATTCAATTAAGTTTGCAGTTTTGATGTGATGTGGCTTGAACAAAAAGCCTGCAAATTCCATAATATTTAATTTTAAAGAGTCATTAATCCCCATTAGATGCGAATGATGTGTTCCAGTGCTAATGAAGCCTGCTTTAACTGTATAGCTACTCTGGAGAGGGAGCATCAGCTGCAAGCCAAGGTCTACAATTTGCAGAATAACTTTAGTTTTCCACTCCATTACATTCCCAGTCCACAGGTTATGATCCCAGTTAATGCTGCATCTGACCACTCACTGTCTCCTCATTATAGCTGAACAGGCTGATTTTGAAGCACTGGGCAGACTGCACTAAGAAAGTGGCATTGTGAATAACAGGCACTTCTGTCACTAGCTCTCATATGCATTAGCAATGATGATGGTTCAGGCTTCTGATATTTTGAATATTAATTACTCCTTTTTTGCCTTAAATCTAAATATTTGACTTCAGCTCTACTCAGGTAAAAGCCATCTGTAAAACTGAAGATGGGACTTATCTTGCTTGCACTTTGAGTAATCAAAATGTGCCCATGACTGCGATCTCAGAACTGCTGGCCCAAATGGAACACCCTGTTTAAATTTGTAGCATCCCCCAAGCCTCCACAGAACAGGTTTGAACAGGTTTTGATATTTTTGAGAAAGGCTTAACCCCCAAGAGTGATTTGGGGAAGGGGATGTGATCTGCATATTCTTTTAGAATTATGGATGTTTTTGTAAATCATGTCATATTGCTGTCTCATATTTCTTGAAAAAGTCAAAGTATCATCTCTCCGTATGTGTACAATTATATATTGATTTCATTCAATTTTGTTATGGAAAATTTATTTTATATATGTTCTCTGCTTGTTGTTTTGTCTATATGTGTCATTTATGATCCGCTTACCCAGTGTGATTTCTGGAAAAAAGCGTATTTCATGTATTACAGCTATAAAACATGCACAAAAGAGGTTTTCATTTTGGCTAGTCTATGGTAGTCTGTCACTGTCAGACTCCCTCGGTTCTGGAAGGCAGCTTTTGCACAGTGCTCAGGTTCAAACACAAGAAACAGCATTGCAAAGACAAAGACTTGAAACTTCTGCAATGTGCAAGACATAGAATCATAGAATATCAGGGTTGGAAGGGGCCTCAGGAGGTTATCTAGTCCAACCCCTTGCTCAAAGCAGGACCAATCCCCAATTTTTGCCCCAGATCCCTAAATGGCCCCCTCAAGGCTTGAACTCACAACCCTGGGTTTAGGAGGCCAATGCTCAAACCACTGAGCTATCCCTCCCCCCAAAATTATCGCCAGCTCGTAGTTGGCAGGATTCAAACCTGCACAGGGAGACCCCAATGGATTTTTAGTCCATTGCCTTAACGACTCGGCCACAACATACTGAAGTACAATTCTCATGGTAGACACCTTACATCTAATCTTGTGGGAAAAGTAGAAAGTAATCAGTATATTGATGTGGAGGTCTGCTGACAAGCCATCAACCTTGATGTGCAATGGATAATTCTAAGATACTGCCCAAACAAGCTATTCGATGTTGAGTTTGAAAAAGGGGAATTCTCAGCAAGTACCAGGATGGACAGCTTTTTAATGTGACGATGTCATCACCATACCAACAGTAACATCTGTTGGATACTGTCCAGTGCTGCCAGCATCACCTACTGAATGGATTAGGGTTTTCACTGTAGAGAAGAATGTCAGCAAGATATCTTGGATACTTGGGCAAGATTATGTGTTGACATTTAATGAGGCTGTATATTGTAATTCCAAAGAGATCCAGTGAACCTACCCAGAGGAATTTCAGAAAACAGTCTTGAGAATGGGTGGTTTCCGCAGAGCACAGACATTTCTAGCTGTAATTGGGAAAAACATATGAAGAGAGTGGTCTTGCAGACATCCTCATAGCAACACAGCAAGCAATAAATCATACAACCATGGAGTGAGGGCCCACAAGATTGTAATGGAGGCTCTGTCCTGACTGCAGAAGCATTCTTTAAATGGGTACAGTGTTGCCCCAGATTTGAGGGATATGTGTACCCCAGATGTTGATCAAGCTAACTGCAACCATAGTGTGCACATTCAGCCACCATGAATTAATCAAATAGAACACCACAGCGTTAAGGGTTAATTTGAATACGCAGGGCTTCTGCAGGCCAGGTCATATGCTAGCTGCCCACATGCAGTTTTTGCTAATTAGAATGGGAGGAGGGAAGAAAAGAGTCAAACTGACAGTGAAAGAGAACTCAGAATTTGGGTACCTTTTGATAAGAAGTGTATTATGACTAAGGTTGTTAGGAATGTTTGTTGATAAGTAGTTTATTGAAGTGTGCAGGCAGAGGGGTTTACTAGGTGTTTTTTTGTGACCAGGTGGGCGGATGTGTCTGTGGGTGTAGAAAAAAGTCTAGTGATGTGTGCGTGTGTTGGAGGGAAACAAGAAACTGAAGGAGCCTCTGAGACACCAAGAAAGTCAAGCAGCAGCCTGTAAGCATGGTGTGACCCTGGGAGAAGCCCAGAGAAAGCATCTAGGTTGGGGATGCTGGCTAAAGAGACTTGGGTTGTAAGCAAAGAAGCTTTCCCCTGGTTTTCATTCCTTCTGCATTCAGAGAAGCTAGACTTTGTACATTCCTTGTAAACAAACAAGATGGAGTCTAGCATTTTCTTTTCAGTCATCACTTTCAACTCCCAAATGGAACAACCTACAAGATCCCAAATTTTTGCTAGCTGCTTGGGTCAAAAAGGGGAAACACTGTCATTCAGAGGGGCTCTCTGGCATGCATATTGCCAGCATCTGGTCCCCTACTTAAACGCAGAGGAAATCTATCATATCCACTATGTCTAGTTGTGAAGGATGTGGGGCTGATCTGCAATAATTTATGAATTCTATATGTGACCTGGTTATTGGGATAGCTACAGAATGGTATATTGGGGTATTGGACTAGTTATTGTACATATAATGGTTTAGTTTAGTAGCAAGGATGTTAGCAAATAAGTAAGAGGGAAACATAATGGCTCCAAATGAGCAGCCTCCCAGTAAACACATGAGGGAGCTTCACATTAAGCTGTGAAGATGTTACTTCTAGTTGCCAGCCAAGTTACAGGACTTGTTTTGCCAGTGTTGGGAGCATCTAGATTAAGAGCACTTAAATAATTAGAATGAGGGATTCTGGAGGGAAGGAATACAATTGTCAATGAGCTGTTCCCTGCGGAACAGACTAACACAGACACCTGCTTGGAGATCTAGGCTTTTGAGGGGGATGGTTGTTTTAAAAACTTCCTCTCCTATGCTTTGCTTTGTTCCCACTGATGAGTTTAAACAATACTTTGTTTTAAGAAGGCAGTTCGGTGTCACTGTATTTACTGTTGGCCACAGACTCCCCCAGGGAAGAACCACAGTTACTGAGTCCAGTTGGACCAGCTGGGTAATCACAGGTGATCTACAGGGTGCTGTAGCCCAGGACCCAGTCTAACACAGAAGAACTGTGAGATTCCACCCCAGGAGAGGTGAAGGCACAAGGCCTGACATCTGAGTGGGTGCACTCAGTGAGACCCAATGAGGGGACAGTTGTATAGCTAGATCTGTAATCATGACACAAGTCAACTCCACAACTATGGAAGTGGGGTCAGGACTCCCCAGGAAGCATAACTGGTGGTCTGAATGTACCTCATTTATAGAGCTTCTGTCTATTAATCTATAGTTCATACATAGCTATATAGACAGGAATAAAGACATATATATTTAGAAAATGTCTTTTGTTTTGAAAGATTTGATATGCTTAGCAGGTATGCCCTGTATTTTAAATGGGGGATATTGATGAATCTCTCTGAAAAGAGCAGACACTTTTAAAGTAAAATACTAAATAGCTTTTCACCAGTCAGCCCAATTATTCCTAGGTTCATAAATTGAACAGGTGTTTTCACCCAGTCACAGAACTGGTAGAAAGTACTGGTTGTTTATTGCAGTAGGCAATAAAACTGGCTATTTTAAAATTTAATGTTGGTTAAAAAGTTAAGCTATGCAGCCAAACTGATGAAAAGCCCAGGAAAGTGGAGAGATAAGGTAAGTACTGTATTGTGCTTATTTTGTTTATTGGGCAACATAGTAGGTCTGATTTTTTTAAAAGTGAGCATATGAAATCATAGAATCATAGAATATCAGGGTTGGAAGGGACCTCAGGAGGTCATCTAGTCCAACCCCCTGCTCAAAGCAGGACCAATCCCCAATTAAATCATCCCAGCCAGGGCTTTGTCAAGCCTGACCTTAAAAACTTCTAAGGAAGGAGATTCTACCACCTCTACCACCTAGGTAACACATTCCAGTGTTTCACCACCCTCTTAGTGAAAAAGTTTTTCCTAATATCCAACCTAAACCTCCCCCACTGCAACTTGAGACCATTACTCCTTGTCCTGTCCTCTTCTACCACTGAGAATAGTCTAGAACCATCCTCTCTGGAACCACCTCTCAGGTAGTTGAAAGCAGCTATCAAATCCCCCCTCATTCTTCTTTTCCTCAGACTAAACAATCCCAGTTCCCTCAGCCTTTCCTCATAAGTCATGTGTTCCAGACCCCTAATCATTTTTGTTGCCCTTCGCTGGACTCTCTCCAATTTATCCACATCCTTCTTGTAGTGTGGGGCCCAAAACTGGACACAGTACTCCAGATGAGGCCTCACCAATGTCGAATAGAGGGGAACAATCACGTCCCTCGATCTGCTCGCTATGCCCCTACTTATACATCCCAAAATGCCATTGGCCTTCTTGGCAACAAGGGCACACTGCTGACTCATATCCAGCTTCTCGTCCACTGTCACCCCTAGGTCCTTTTCCGCAGAACTGCTGCCTAGCCATTCGGTCCCTAGTCTGCAGTTCTGCGGAAAATGTGTGAGTCTATTTGAAAAACAGGCAAATTTGCTGCCTAAATGGAAAAACAGCTGCTTTGCTTTGTTTAATTTGCCACCTGCTCAGGAATCTGTTTCCTGTTTTGCAAAATAGGTAAGCTTCTTTCAGATTTAAGGACTTAAAAAGTATAGTGTCTTTAGAAAGCCACCAAGCAGGAAGGGCAGTCTGAGGTCTCTTCTTTCTGCACACTTAGACCTGCTCTACACTTAAAGTTTAGGCCAACCTAGCTAAGTCACTCAAAGGTGCGAAAAAATTCAGACTCTTGAGTGCCATAGTTAAGCTGACCTAAACCCTGTTTAAAAAGCTCTAACCAATTGTGTTCTGCACATTACCAAGGAATGTCTTTATTAATAAATTTCAATATAAAAAAGATATAATGGCCTATTAAGAAACATTAAAGTCTAGATCATTTTTTTAATGTTCCTACTAATATGAGTTATATACTGCTGGTCACTTTAACAGACGAATAGACCTCTGAAGCCTAATGATCCATGCAGTTTCTAACTTTGTATACCTGTCGTTAATCCATCATCATCCAAGTAGTAATCTATCCCACTCTAATAAATAGAAATGGACCTGGAATACTTCAGAGGAATAAAAACATACGAATGTTTTAAATTATGGTATCATTTTGCTGCCAATTTGAAATAATACTGACAGTGTCTAGAAAAAAGGGAAGAACAGTAGTTCAGCATCATCTGGTTTTTATAAGCGCAGGCATGGCACAATTTTAAAAAAAGGACAGGTGGGATTAAAATTACTTTTGTTCCTATTTATTAAAAACAGAAAACAAAATCTATTATATAAACCTCCCGCTGAAACATAATAGATATAAAAAGAACATTAAGATAGTGTCTGAGAAGAAAGAAATTCACAATGTAGGGTCTGATCCTGCAGGGTGCTGAGTACCTTTAATTCCCATTGTCCCTTAGAGGATATAAATCAGGCTATACATTACAGATTATTATTATTATTGTTATTTCATACTCACGTAACAGAAAACATGCTGGAGACTTTAAAATACAGAAATACAGACCGTCTCCTTGAGCAGGAGAATTTACAGCCTAAACAACCTAAACTTGCAAAATGTTGTCCATATACTTACTTACACATTGTGTATAGTCCTATTGAAGTAAAGCATGTGAATAAGAGTTTGTTCATTGAGGCCTACATTAAAGTGATGAGAAGAAATAGGAAGCAATGACAACTTGAGAAGGGTATAATAGGAGAAGGATGAGGAAGAGGGCAATATGATGTATCCTTGAAGGTAAGAAAGAATTTATTTTCAGTGTGTCCTGTACACAACACATTAGCACAATGACATATAGCAAAGAAGGTGTCCGGGTGTTAGAGCAAAATGTCATGTACCTGCTAAGAGCCCAATGAAGTCTATGGCAATATTCCAATTGACTATAGTGGGTGTTGGATCTTGCCCTAAACTGGGATTACTATTGTTGTCTGTTATTGTTTTCAAAATCTGTCAATTTT